AGCAGGCGCGCACACGAACACGCACGAAAGGCAAGGCGACGCCAGGACGACAAGAGCTCCACTGCCCCTGGTGTACCGAACGCCAGGACGGCAGCGAGCACTGCCCCTGGTGTGGGCCTGACTCAACCGCCGAACCAGGACCCCCATGACGGGCCAGGAGGAGGGAGGAGGAGGAGGAGGAGGAGGAGGAGGAGGAGGAGGAGGAGGATGAACTGGCATCAGCACCGCAATGCAGAACCGCCGGGGGGTAGGACATGTGCCCCTTCGCGCCCGACTCGCGGGGGGATGCTTCAGGCAGCGCGCTTGTTCGGAGGTTCGGAATCCGGCGCTTCCACGACAGATGGTGAGGACGTCTCGACCGCGGCGCTGGCCTCAGCACCCACAGGAAGACCAGGGGATACGTAGGGCGTGTGCCCTTTCGCGCACGCCTGGCGGGGATGTCTCAAACAGCGTGCCTGTGTGGTCCCCTGCCACTGGATGCTTCCCTGACAAATCTGAGGATGTCTCGACCGAGACGCCGGTTTCTGGACACACCCGGAGGTGTGGGAAATTTGCCTGTTCGCACCCACATTGTGGAGATGTTTCTGGCGGTCTGGTGGGTTGCACTCGTGTGCTTGCACAACAGGTTGCGAGGATGTCTGGAGCGAGGCGCTGGCTGGCTTCAGTACCGAAGGCGCTAGATCGCGGGGATGCGTCGGGCGAAGCGCGCGGTTTTGCATCTCTGGCTCCTGCCCATTCAGAGCCTCAGGATCACTTCGAGGCAGGAAAGGGACGGCCGCCAGGACGGAGGAGGGAGGACGCAGGAAGAAGGAGGACGCAGGAAAAGGGAGAAGTGAGGAAGAAAAGGAGAGGGCACGACGAGCACGAGCGTTTCCCCATCTCTGATCATCCAGACGAGGCAGGGATACAAGACTGGGGGCCGATCCGCGTGGCGGAGTGCAATGTAATGTAGACGATCGCGATCGCGGCCGCGAGAGCTGCCTCGTAGCCATCGCCGTTGCCGCCGTCGCCGTCATCATCGCATCCACGGCGATGCCGTCCGTGGCGATTTTGGTTCAATCCTGATTTCTACATTACCGAAAACCCACCAAAGACAAAACAACGGAGCGCCGTGTCTGGGCTCCGCGACCTGGTCGGTGAGGTGGGCGCGCCGGTGATCCGTCGCAAAAGGTCGACCTCTCGAGCGCGGGCTTGGATGGTTTCCGCTCCCGGGTGGCTGATGCCTGCTCCGCGCAAGACCAGCGGCGTCGCGTCGAGGACGCGCGACCCATTCACCGCTCCGCCCCCACCTGTTCCCTAAGCCCAGGGCGCGTGGCCCGGCGCAGGCATCGCAGGTGCGTCAGAGCATAGGGTGCAGGCACCACCCCAGCGTAGAGCGGCGATCTCTCGCGCACCGCGGGCGCTGCCGCTTCCTCAGCAGAAGGCGCTGCGCATGCTTTGGCGCGGGCTCCGCGAGCGCGTCCATCGGGTCGGGCGAAAGGGGGGGGGATAGCAAAGGGGGGGGGGAGAATCAGCTCACGTAGCTGATTTCCCGGCGCCTCCCGGCGCCGGAGGCGGCTATGTATCGAGGAATGGGCTCCTCGGTGAGGCCGAAACCAGCTGCATGCAGCAAACTTCGTAACCCCCCCTTTCCCAATCCCCCCCTTTCGTCCGGCCCGAGTCAAGCAATGTGGTGCAAAAGCGTCGCCTCGCCATCGACTCGTCGGCGCAACCGCCGCAGGGGGCGGTGAAATTATTCGCGCGGGCGCTGCGCGCGGGGGGCGCGCGGAAGCGTGCACACACCTGACCATCGTACCGGCGCCATCGCCCCAAACAAAGCGGGGCGTGGCGCCGCCTCTGGGGGCGAAGCGGAAGGCCGGCGGGGGTTGAGAGAGCCGGTGGAGCCACTGAGCGAGGCCTCGAGATGCCGGGCGAGCAAGGCAAAGTCGCGGCAGGGGCGGTTCGCGTGCGCACCACTTCGCGCGCAGGAGGAAGTGAGTTCCTTATTATCTGGCCCATAGTGTGTGTGTGTGTGTTTGCGATAGGCATGGAAGCATGGCGGTTCCGATTTAATACAGAAGGTAAGCATGCGCCTGAGGAAGGAGAGGGGAAGGGGTTTGCTCACCGCCTGTCTATTTGTGACTCGTCGCCGTCGCTGTCCGTCGTCGTAGCCGTAGCCGCCGCCGCCATCGTCGTCGCACTCGTCGTCCACTCGGACTCGCTCGCACACCCAGACACGCAGGGCCAGAAACTCACAGCAGGAAGTGCCAAGATATGAGATGCACAGATGGCGGATTCCGGGCACCCTGAACCCAAACATGTTGTCCCTTCCGCCAGCTTCCGCTGGCGGAGGCGGCCTCGGTTTACTTCCGCCGACCTTCCGCCGCCTTCCACCGAGGAAAATATGACACCTCCTTCGATCCTCGAAGACAAGGCTCTTTTTGGAACGCGGAGGAGGAGGAGGAGGAGGAGGAGGAGGAGGAGGAGAAGGAGGAGGAGGAGGAGGGGGAGGAGGAGGAGGAGGAGGAGGAGGAGGAGGGGGAGGGGGAGGGAGGAGGAGGAGGAGGAGAGGAGGAGGAGGAGGAGGAGGAGGAGGAGGAGGAGGACATCGAACAATTTTCACAACATGGACCCGCGAGAGGTGTGGACCCCTTCCACGGGACTGCGTCCTCCTCCCGAGTCTCTGTCTTTGGGGTCCGCAGGCCCGGCGGGGGCCCCCCCGGAGGACGACAGGTGTCACAGCCTCCTCTGGCATTTCGGCTCGCGGCGGGAGGCTGCCACGGTCCTGCTCCTCCTCCTCCCGTTCGTCGGGAACCTGACGGCGCTCCCATTGAACGTCGTTCCTCCTCCTTTTCCCCCTCCTCCTCCTCCTCCTCCTCCTCCTCCTCCTCCTCCTCCTCCTCCTCCTCCTCCTGGGCGCACGCCCGCGTGGATTGCGGATCGGGGAGATAATGTACCCCCCGAAACATGGCGCCGAGGCCTCCTCCTTTGGCCGCTGGTTGCGCAGATGTTGCTCGGAAGCGAGACCCGTCGCTAACCCACGCGCCCCAAGCCATGTTTGCGCTTCCTTTGCGGGCAGTACTTATATCCAGTTCCAGAGCGTCGTGGACTCTTTGGGAAGAGGTGCCGCAACGCCGAGGCGCACTGGGTATGAATAAAATCAAGTCTCTTGGGGCCAGATTTTTATCCATATCCAGTGCGTCTACGGTTTCTGGGGAAGAGAGCCCAAGAATCCAAGACGCACTGGATGTGGATATAACTATTGCCCGCATCCTTGATCCTCCTTCTCCCTCGGAGGCGGCCAGGGGGTCTGAGCTGGACGGGCCCCGAAAAGGTCGAAGAGTAGAGGACAAAGCCACATCCACACAACATGAAGCCCCGGACCCGTCTGGATGCCATCCGGTGCAGATCTCCACCCCCGATCTGTTTTCGACGGTACCGAGCACGAAAACGGGCCCAGGAGACCGAAAGAGGCATCAGGTTTTCTCGAACCCAGAACCTCAATCCTCCCCCCTCCCGCTGGCCAGAACCAATGCAGGGCCACCTCAGACCCCCAGCCGGTCTCGATCCTCCTCCTCCCTGACCTCTTCCTGGAGGACTCCCAGACGAGGTTCGAGCAGATGGTGTCGGAGGATTGCACCGCATCGCCGATGCATCGCCGATGCATCGGCGATGCATCGGCGCCGTCGGCGTGGACAACAACGGGCTCCACATCAAGCCGCATCATCGAAGCATCGGCGATGTGGATCGATCCTGCAACCCTATCTGCTCGGCGACGCATCGGCCAGGCATCGGTGGCGTCGGCGTGGAAAACATCGGGCTCCGCGTCAAGCCGCACTGCCGACAATATCGGAGGTGCGGCGCGACCCTCCGACCCGAGGCCTCCTGAGGCCTCCTGGGGCTTCCTGGGATTCCCCGGGCTTCCTGACACCTCCCAAGGCTTCCTGAAGCCTCCTGGAAACTCCTGGGGCTTCCTGGGCCCTCCTGAAGCCTCCTGGGGCTTCCCGGGGTCGCTGGGGTTTCCTGCAACCTCCTGGGGCCTCCCGAAGCCTCCTGGAGCCTCCTGAGGCTTCCTGGGGCCTCCTTGGCTCGTGCTAAAATGCCAGCGCAATCTTTGAGACGCGCCAGGAATTTCCCATCGGTAACCGCTATCGCGGCTGCATCAGCTGTGGCAAACCACCTGGTCGATCTGATTTCGGTCCCCAGTTGCGCCAACCACTGTTTCTTCTGTTGTGGGAGGGCGGGTGGGAATGGGCATGCCATGCTTGACTCGCTCGAGCTGGCTAGCTTGACTCCTACTCCTAATCCTCCTCCGCCTCCTGGTTCTCCTCCTCCTACCTATGGTAATGGTGATGGAAACGTGGCCCACCACAGACCCGGGTCGGTCAGGCCCTGCAAGATCCTGCGCCCAAGCCCGGGTTCAGTGCGCCCCTGTCGGGCGGAGGGGTAAAGAAAAGGGCCCTACAGGGGCCCTGTGGAGCCCCTTTTGGAGCCAGTTGGTGTTCAAACGGAGCCCTTTTCTTCACCCCCCATTTTGGGCCGCCCCCATTAACACCCGCTCGATCCGCAGGAGGAGGAGGAGGAGGAGGAGGAGGAGGAGGAGGAGGAAGAGGAGGAGGAGGAGGAGGAGGAGGAGGAGGAGGAGGAGAGGGAGGAGGAGGAGGCGGAGAAGGAGGAGGAGGAGGAGGAGGAGGAGGAGGAGGAGGAGGAGGAGGGGAGGAGGAGGAGGAGGAGGAGGAGGAGGAGGAGAGGAGGAGGAGAGGAGGAGGACGATGAGGGGGCGGAGTAGGCGGAGGCGGAGGAGGAGGAGGGGGAGGAGGAGGAGGGAGGAGGAGGAGGAGGAGGAGGAGGAGGAGGAGGGGAGGAGGAGGAGGAGGAGGAGGAGGAGGCTCTCGACGGACACCCGCCTGCACTGGCCCCCGCCTCTCGAGAGCCCCCCCGGCGCGGCGCAGGAGGGCCGCGGTGCCGAGCGGCGTGGCGGGCATCGCCCCGCGCATGCAGGGCCCCCCTGCGGGGGGGGCTCAGGCCGGGGCGTCCATCTTCTCGCGGTAGCGCTTGAGCACCGGGGGGCCGTGGGGGCCCTGGCCTCCCAGAGATCCAACGCCTTGAAACCGATCAATGATTACGAAGGTCTCCCTCAGTTTTCGGCCTCTGGGCGCCCTCGGACGGGCCCCAGGCCCGTCAACAAACGACTCGACTGGGCGCCGCGGCTGGATCCGCCGTGCAGTTCTGGCCAGATCGCACCCCAGAGCAGGTCTGGGGTTCGACTCCCCCCCCCGCCCCGCGGGCCCAGACCTCCATGCGTCGTGGCAAACCAAAAAAAAACACGGTGAAAGACTTGCAGCAAATGTTTCGGTCTCCGTGGGCCCTCGCCGGGCCCCGCGGGACTGCCGAAACATGTGTCCGGATGAAGGAATCGGTCCCCAGGAAGGGGTCCAGCACTCTGGGGAGCCACGTGAAGGGAAAGAATGTGACGACGGACGCCTGGGAGGTGGGGCAGGGACAGGGGGCGGGTGAGAAGGAAATCGCTCGAATCGCGCGAACACCAAATCAGCTTCGTTCTTTGTCCCCCACCTTGCGACCCAGACATCCAACGTCGTGTTTTTTTCCGCAGCGCGGGCCCCCGTCCTGGGGACTGGCTCGTCGCCCTGGGCCTGGCGCGGGCCCCAGGAGGCAGAAGACCATAAGCATAAACACAGAGCACACAAACTCGCAATGTGCGCACAAATGTATTATAGTATATCCATGTGTGTATGTGTGTAGATGTACATGGTGGAAATTTGTTAACATTATGACATGCAGTGCTATGCTATATGATACTATACCATGCAAGCTATAGTCGATCTTAGTATGCCATAGTATGTTATGGTGTGCTATAATATGTTATATGCGTAATGTTATAGTGCAACATAACAGGTTACATGGTAATACACTACGTACTAGTATATTGCAATGTCATGAATGATATTACTTCTAAACAGGAGACACTGTATTCCACGGCATTTACTATATTAGATAGTAGTATAGTATGACAGATGACAGTATAATGTATTACATCATGCTGTAGCACGCTATATCATATTGCAGTGTACGGCGATATAATACATTCTATGTGGTTTTATTATGTGGCACTATACTACATCACGCTATAGTGCAACATATTAGAGTGTACCACATGATACTACAGTATGTTCGTATACGATATGTGTATATATATATGAATAGATGTATATACGTATGTAACACATGTGTATCTACATATATATGTATATATATATACATGCAAATGCATCGCGGCGCGAAGACCCTGAGATCAAACGTTGCGCCAAACATGTCGCCTCGCGAACCATCACGTCCGGAGCCCTGCGTCTCGAGCTCCGGGTCGATCTCTTCGAGGGCCCCGGTGAGGCCCCACTCTGGGCGACACAGCGCCCAGGGTGGGGGGAACAAACAAAAAACGCTCGGACCCGAGGACGAGAACCCTCCAGGGAGGAGGCCCCCCAGAAGCACGAGAAACCCCGGGGAGCTGGCCGCCGCTCGGCACGCGAGCCCCGATGGCAGGATCAGCCAGCATCGGCTCGGGCAGTGAATCGGACCGAGTCGGAGTGCGCGTCGGATCGGATGCAAGATGGCTCGGAGGCCATATGGGGAGAACATGCAAAGTCTGGATCTCAAGGGAGTTATCGGGATAACCTCCCCACGAGCCCCCGAGATGAAGGAGGCGATGCTCTCGGTGATGGCGTGCTGCTTCTCGACCCGGCCCCTCACAGCGACCTCTTGGCAACGGGCTCCCTGACTCCAGCGCCCAGAATTCCTGCCCCTCCTCCACCGCCCCCCATATTTCTTGTAAAGCAGTCTTCGTATTCGTCTTCTTCGTCTCCGTCTTCGTGTTCCTCTTCACCCTCCTCGTCCACCTCCATCTCCCCTTCGTCCTCCTCCTGCTCATCCTCATCGTCGTCCTCCTTCTCCTTTTCCTCCTCCTTTTCCTCCTCCTCTTCCTCCTCCTCTTCCTCCTCCTCCTCCTCCTCCCCCCTCCTCCTCCTCCTCCTCCTCCTCCTCCCCCCTCCTCCCCCTCCTCCTCCTCCTCCTCCCCCCCTCCTCCTCCCCCTCCTCCTCGACCCCCCCCCCCCGGCCGGGCAATGGGCTCCAGGAGAGTGGCCGACCCCCAGCAGCGCCAACCCTCCCTGCAGCCGACGCGCGGCCACAGAGCCGTGGACCAGGAGCTCAACCAGCCTCGAACGTATCCCTATCCCTAAGATGGGCGAGCAAAAAGCAAGGACAATCTTAGGGACAGGCCCTCAGAAACTGAGGGATCTCTCAAGATCGGCATCGAGGTAAGATGCTATCAAGCGTAGGGATAGGGATACGTTTCAAACTGGTGAGGAGCGTGAACCCTTCGCCGACCCCCACGGCGCCTCTGGACCCCCATTCGCGCCGAATCCGGGAGCGTGAAGCAAGAGCGAGGGCCCCTTCGCCGAAGGGCCAGCAAAGCTCTTTGTGGATGCGATGGCAATGGATACTCGAACAGCCACACCATTGGATTTAACATGTGTATTCAATGTGTTTTTTTTCTCTCTGTCTTTCATTTTCTCTCTCTCTCTCTCTCTCTCTCTCTCTCTATATATATATATATAGCACATGGTCCAAACACGTTTCTTGTATTGTTCAAACATTTTAAGCAGTGATCGTCTTCTGCATGCAAAGCTCCGTGGCCGCGCCCGCAGCGAACAGCATATTATAGGGTCAGAGCAGAGCGAAAACGAAAACCTTGCAGGCTGCACGGGGGCCCCGGTTGGAGGCAGTCCTGGGCCCTCGACGCAGAGACTCCCCGACCAGCCTGTCTCGGCGGTGGACAAACCTCCCTTTAGGAAACCTCCCCTTGGTGCAAACGGCCCGGGACCGAACCCGCTGGACCCGGACCCGCAAAAATGACGGCCGCGAGGCCTCGCGCGAACCGAAAACGGCCAGTTCCTTAATCGACGTGTCAGGGTAGGAGGTCTGTCTCCCTGCTATCCTCCCTGCTATCCTCCCTCGCCTCCCCCCCTCCCCTCCCCCCCTCCTCCCTCGCCTCCCTGCTATCCTCCTCTCCTCCTCCTCCTCCTCCTCCTCCTCCTCCTCCTCCTCCTCCTCCTCCTCCTCCTCCTCCTCCTGCTTTTCCTGCTCCTCCTCTACGCCAAGCACTCGGGCGCGGCGAGCGGACCGCCGGGAATCCGGAATCCGGGGGGGGCGCCCGCTGCCTCCCGCGGCGCCTCCTGTGACCTCCCACGGCCCCCCGTGGCCTCCCGTGGCATCCCGTTGCCGCTCGATGCATCTCTCCCTGTCCCGGCTGCTCTATCCCTCTCCATCCCTGCATTCCTATCCCTATCCCAATCTCTCTATCCCTGCCCCCCGCGTTTCCTTTTTTAGCTCTCTGTGTCCCTGTCTCCCGCTGTGCCGTCCCGATCCCCCTATCCCCATCCTCACTCCTTGCCCCTATCCCTGTACATCCCGGTGGCCCTGCCCCCTATCTCCCAGGCCCCGCATCCACATCCCTACCCGTACCGTCGGGGCGTTGACCTAAGGAATCCTAAACAAGGAACGAGGCCCCTTTTTCCCATACGTTGAACTTCGATTTCCCATGGAAAACCTCAGGAAAACTGAAGGCAAATTGCAGAACCATCGAGGAACGCCGAGCCCCTCTCCAACGAACAGGGTTCCTTCCTCAGCGCCCCGACTGTATTCATCCCCTTCCCTGTCCCGATCCCCCCATCGTGGCCCCCCATGGTCCACGGTGACACCCTTCCAATTGGCCCCCATATCTCGCCCGCCTGCAGCTGCTCGGGGCCTTTTTGCCGCAAGGGCGGCACTTTTTTGCTCGCAGCGCGGATTTCCTCAGACGTCTGGGCCCCCCTTTTGTTGAGTCGGGCCTGCCCCCCTGACAGGGGGATTCTCGACGAAAAATTAAGAATACCCCAAACATAATCAAAACATAATCCAAAAATAGTCTGGGGACTATTTGTCGAATATGTTTTAACCTTTTTGGGGTATGTTTGGAGTATTCTTAACTTTTCGTCGAAAGTCCCCCTGCAGGGGGACACGCCCGACAGAACCCTTTTGCCCGGGGTCGGCTCCTGCCCCCCCCCCCCCGAAGCGTTTCCTGCTGGCCCGAGGGGCTGGTGGGGGCGGCATGGAGGCCGAAGGTTGCCCAACAATCTCCCGTCGTGCACTTTTTCGCGACGGGAAAACGACCACAGCCACTGCTTTTCTTTTGTTGCCGCCTTCCACCCAGCAGAAACAAAGCAGTGGTTGTGACCATTTTCGTTTAAAACTTGGCACCAGGGAAATGACCAGAACCACTGCTTCTTTTTCGGCCGGCTGGAAGGCGGCGCGAACAAGAAGCAGTGGCTGTGGTCATTTTCCCGTCCCGCAGCTTTTTCGCGACGGGAGGAAGCCTCGGCCTGGGGATAAAACCTCGACTCCCAGACCTGTGCCGCGGGATACGATCGTGATCGCTGCATTTCGGCAGTGGTCGGCAAGGGGTCTGGGATTGGGAACAATGGCCCCAGATTCCGAACACCTGCTTCTGAAGCTCGTAGACAATGCTGCTCTGGCTTGTCTTCATGGGGCGGTGCAATTCCACACATCAATTTGTCGATTTACGGCAGATACATGTCGTGACGACCCCGGCATTGGTTTCTGACACCGCGTGGATCGTTCAACCTTGAACGATCGGCAGCTTTTCGATCGCCCGACCGTTCCATGTGGGCCGATTATGGGCCACTGGCGGCGTTCAACCTTGAACGCCCGCGGCGGTGTCACCGCCAGTCGACACGACGCGAACCTACCGTAATCGAACGTAGATGTTTCCCAACAGCTGGCCATCGCTCGGACGTCCATTTCCTGTGTTTTTTTGGTTTCGTGCGTGGTTTTTTCGCCAAATGGTCGAGGATGCTCCTCGATTGTCCTCGCCGAAGGAAAAATGCACACGTCCGAGCGATGCCAAGACGGTGGTTTACAACATACGCACTGGTCCACTGCCGCTGCCCATGCTGCTCTCGGCGAGGAGGTGCTGCCGGGACTCCACACGACGGCTCCGGCCGCGGCAACGAAGAGAGCCTCCTGGAGGCCCCAAAAGCACACCAAGACGTGCCCTCCCCCGGGGCGGAGCGTCGCCCGACAAAGATCTTGCCGCCGTGCTCAGATGAAGGGGCCCCAGGACACACACACGAATAAACACACACAAATAAACAGATTCCCCATATCATCCCATATATTTTCTGGGCTGCTGTCTTCCCCACCACTGCCCACACTTCCCAGATCCCCCTGGGCATCGACGATTAACTGTGTCTGTGTGTTGCCTTCCCTCCTGCTCATGAAGGCCCACGGCGCGAGGCGGCCCGGGGCAGCGGCCCGCGGGCCCCCCCCCCCCCCCCCCCAGGGGCTCGCGGGGAGCCCGGGAGGCGGACCCCTGTGGGCAGCCACGAGGATATCTCGGAGGAGGGCCCAAGCCTCCTGCGCTCAGGACGGGGCGTCGCCTCATGGAGGGGGTGCTATCCATGGGCGGGGAATAGTTATATCCACATCCGGTGCGCCTTGGATTCTTGGACTCTCTTCCCCAGAAGCCGTAGACGCACTGGATGTGGATAAAGATCTGGCCCCAAGAGGCTTGATTGTGTCAATATCCAGTGTGCCTCGGCGTTGCGGCACCTCTTCCCAAAAAGTCAACGACGCTCTGGATGTGGATATAAGTACTGCCCGCATCCATGGGCGGGGAAAGGCTTTCTTCTTCTTTTAGAACTCTTCTACAACACAAGAAAGCCGGAAGGAGCCCTGTTGCGACGACGAGGGGCGACACGAGGGGAAGAGCTCGGACCCACGGTTCCTCCGATGTGATCTGGCCTTCGGCCCGTGACCAAAGAAGTCTGACCACAGATCCTTTGACAAAAATTCCCAACCGGCTTCGAAAGGCCCTCAAGTTATCAGTCCCGGCCTGTTACCAGGACCCGGACCACCAAAATGAAGGGGAACTGGGACACACAAATAAATACACACAAATACAATGATTCCCCATATTTTCCCATATGTTCTGGGTTTTTGTCTTCCCCCCCAATTCCTATATTTTCGCATATTTTCCTTGGAAATCGACGATGAATTGTGTCTGTGTGCTTCTTTCCCTCCTGACAAAAACAGATCCGGAGCGAAAAACTACCCCTATGGGGAAAGGGTCGGGCCGCACCACCCCACGGCGATGCCGCCGACATCCTCGCGGAGACCAAAAAAAGCCGCGGGAGGCCTTCTGGCAGCGCTCGGTCTCCTGGGGCCCTCCTCCTCCTCCTCCTCCTCCTCCTCGCCCTCCTCCTCCTCCTCCTCCTCCTCCTCCTCCTCCTCCTCCTCCTCCTCCTCCTCCTCCCCCTCCTCCGCCTCGTCCTCTTCCTCCTCCTCCCCATGCACTCAGGATGAGAAGCTGTTCCCAGAAAGGGGGGTTAAGACCTCCGGGAAGCCGCGCTGTCCACAAAGCACGACGTGGGATGTCTGGGGGGGGCAGGAAGGAGGAGAAGGTCGAACGTGCCCTAAAGCAGGGAGGAGGAGGAGAAGGAGAAGGAGGAGGAGGAGGAGGAGAAGTGGGAGAAGGAACAGGACAAGGGAGGAGAAGTGGAAGAAGGAACAGCACAAGGAGGAGGAGGAGGAGGAGGAGGAGGAGGGAGGAGGAGGCGAAGGCCATTTCTGGAGCGGCGCGGCCTGGTGCTCCGCCCTGATGGACGCGACGTGCTCGCGGGTCGCCTTGTCCAGCTGGTACTGGTGCTTCGCGACCCGCTGCTCCTGCAGCCCCCGCCGTGGACCATCGCAGGAGGGAGGAGGTCGGCGTGACGCAGGCGGGTGCTGGAGGAGAGGACCGGCGCCGCCCGCAGCCCAGCTCGCCGACGCTGTGATGCTTCCCCTCGTGGCGGTGCTTCCTCGATGCCAGCCCTCAAGGGCTGCTTCCGGGCCCAAGGGCCACCAGAGATGGCTTTGAGTCAGGACACTACCCCTGGGGAAGCGGTCGGAGCCTCTGGGGTCGCCGATGCGCCAGGCGGAGCGGCGGGTGTCGGGGAAGGGGGTTGCTCGAGCCTGGCGGGCCTCTGGAAAGCCCGCGCGGCTTCCACGAGGCCTTTCTCAGAAGCCCCTCGCGCCATCTCCCCTCGAACCACCTCCCGTGCGGGCGCTGCCCAAGCGTTCGGTGACAACTCATGGGAGCCTCCCATACCATGTTGTCAGCTCTTGCGAATCGACGCTGGATCGACGCTGATCGACGCAAGCCGACGCTAACTGGCGCTATCTCATCGACTCCAGACGCTAATCGACGCTAGTCGACGCTCAAGACAAAACGAAGAGGGTATACCAGGCTCCCATGATGTGCCTTCCAACAAACGGGGCCCTGGAGTTTCTGCCTCGATTTCGGCACTCCTCCGAGCTTGCGGGCTCGTCCCGTGGCACTCGCGGCCGCTCGCGGCCGTGGGATGCACCGCTCTCCCTACCGCCCCGTGCGGGGTCGATTGTCCTTCGAGAGACGCCGGCGCGGGGTCGCATCGACTGTCTCGATCGCGTTCCGGAGCTGGGCCATTGCCAGCGAGTCGCCCAGGGGCTGCTTCAAATGCTTCTGCTATCTTCTCTTCCTCCTCGTCCTCCTCGTCCTCCTCGTCCTCCTCGTCCTCCTCGTCCTCCTCTCCTCCTCCTCCTCCTCCTCCTCCTCCTCCTCCCTCCTCCTCTCCTCCTCTCCTCCTCCTCCTCCTCTCCTCCTCTCCTCCTCCTCCTCCTCCTCCTCCTCCTCCTCCTCCTCTGCCTCCTCTCCTCCTCCTCCTCCTCCTCCTTCTCCTCCTCCTCCTCCTCCTCCTCCTCCTCATCTCCTCCTCTGCTCGTCCTCTATTCCCTCTCCTCCTCCTCCTCCTCCTCCTCCTCCTCCTCCTCCTCCTCCTCCTCCTGCTCCTCTGCTCGTCCTCTATTCCCTCCTCCTCCTCCTCCTCCTCCTCCTCCTCCTCCTGCTCCTCTCTTCTTCTGGCCCGCACGGGCTCGATCTCTCGGCCTGGCTGCCACTGCGACGTCCGAGCTCGGCCTCCGGAGCGGGGATCTGCGAAGAGACTGCCGACGCGGGCGCGCCGCGCCGGGCCATCAGGCGACGGAGGGGGAGGAGGAGGAGGAGGAGGAGGAGGAGGAGGAGGAGGAGGAGGAGGAGGAGGAGGAGGAGGAGGACGAGGAGGAGGAGGAGAAGGAAAAGGAGGAGGAGGAGGAGGAACTGCCTTGGAGAATGCGAGGCAAGGACCGATGGGGGCGCTCCTGGCCACGAGCCTCGGCCACGAACGGGTTCCCCCCGGCCTCTACGGTGAGGCGCCGTGGCTTCGCGTGTCGCGGCGGCGGCGGCGGCGGCCCCTGCGACGCGCCATGCCTTTCGAGCCGAGAGCGTGCCGCTCGAGGAGGAGGAGGAGGAGGAGGAGGAGGAGGAGGAGGAGGAGGAGGAGGAGGAGGCGGAGGAGGCCGAGGAGGAGCGAGGAGGAGGCGGAGGAGGAGGAGGAGGAGGAGAGGAGGAGGAGAGGACGGGACGAGGAGGAGGAGGAGGAGTAGGAGGAGGGAGGAGAGAGGAGGAGGAGGGGGAGGAGGAGGACGAGGAGGAGAGGAGGAGGAGGAGGAGGAGGAGGAGGAGGAAGGAGGAGGAGGAGGAGGAGGAGGAGGAGGAGGACGATCCTGCGTGGGAGAGGACAGGCTGGACAGAGCTCTCGGGCCCTGGATGCTCGGGGGGACGGGGGGATGTGCTCCGCGTGCAGCGCCGAGGCGTGGCGAGCCAGAGCCAGCGGGGCGACACGCGAGGAGGAGGAGGAGGAGGAGGAGGAGGAGGAGGAGGAGGAGGAGGAGGGGAGCAAGCAGCAGCAGCAGCAGCAGCAGCAGCAGCAGCAGCAGGGGAGGAGGAGGAGGAGGAGGAGGAGGAGGAGGAGGAGGAGGAGGAGGAGGAGGAGGAGGGAGGAGGAGGAGGAGGAGGAGGAGGAGGAGGAGAGGAGGAGGAGGAGGAGGAGGAGGAGGAGGAGGAGGAGGAGGAGGAGGAAGAGGAAGAGGAGTTGGGCCAGAACCAGCGGGGCGACACGCGCATAGAGGCCTGGCAGCTGGGGCCCGAGGAAAAAGGGGTCGGAGGATCGCGCCGCAGCGCCGAGGCATGGGCGTGGACAAAGTCGGACTCCGCATCCAGCTGCATCGCCGATGCGTCGACGCTCCACCGCCCCCACCTGCTCGGGCCCCATGCTGGGAGGCCCGGAGCCGAGCAGACGCCTCAGACTCCTGACCAGAAGTCGACGGAACGGCCCGAAGACCAGCGCCCCTCCGAACCCAAACCAGTCCCTACCTCAGCGCCTTGGCCTTGGCCAGGGGGTCCGAAGCGGATGGGACCCCAGAGAATCGGCCAGGACGGGGGACGAGGCCAAATCCGCTCAGAATCAATCCCCTGGACCCCTTGCTGGACCCGTCTGGCACGGCAGCCGAACAGAAACACAGACCTGCTCGAACCCAGAACCTCGCACCTGCCCGCCCTTCTTTTTGTTGGCTGGAACCAGTGCTAGGCCATCTCAGACCCCCGAGAACCATCGACTACACGCAAGACTCGCCATCGCTCGGACGTCCATTCCCTGTTTTTGTTTCGGTTTCGTGCGTGGTCTTTTTCGCAGGATGATCCAGGATGCTCCTTAATTATCCCCGCCGAGAAAAAGTGCACACGTCCGAGCGATACCAAGAAGAGTGATCCTGGGTAGGAGTGACCTGTGGTGCGCGGCTCTTGGGTGGCCGCGCGGGGACCGAAGCACAGGCGCGCAAGACGCTACCACCGCATCGCGTTCGGGGACCAGGGGACCCCAGTGGGCACGCACCAGAGGTCACTCCGGCGAAAGGTCACTCTAACGCCAAGTCGGGCATGTCATCTCTACAGGAAGAGGAAAACTCAATCATGGTAGAGTCTGGGGACGCTTCTTCGACTATTCTTCAACATGCTCGACATGGGCTGATTCTATCTTTTACCTCTGGTCCAAGATCCGCCTGTAAGAGGATAAGGGGGTCACATGCGAACCCTACCCCTACGCCCCACGATTTCTGAGGGGGAGGGTGGGGGTCACTTCGCTCGGGAGTTCCCGAACGAAGTGAACCCCACCCTCTTCCTCAGAAATCGTAAGGGGCAGGGGTAGGGTTCGCATCTGGCCCCCTAGAGGACGTGCCCGACCTGACCTCCCCGAGCCCAAGCCGTGGAGCCGCGCGGCACCAGGCGGCCCCTCCTGGCCCCGGCGGGGAGGGAGCCCCGCGACCAGCGGGCACCTCGGCGCCTCTCCCCCCCCCCGATCGCCCGATCGCTGCGGGCCGCGTCGCCCACGTGACGGAGGGGCGGGCGAACGGGGGGATAGCAAAGGGGGGGTTGAGAATCGGCTCACGTAGCTGATTCTCCTGGCGCCTCCCGGCGCCGGGAGGCGCCCATGCATCGAGGAAGGGGCCCCTCGGCGAGGCCGAAACCAGCTGCACGCAGCAAGTCTCGTAACCCCCCCTTTCCCAATCCCCCCCTTTCGTCCGGCCCGAGCGACGGAGGGGTGGGGCGACCACAATCCCGTGCCTTCTGAAGCTCTCGGCGGGCCCAGCTCGGGAAACAACGGCAGACGGGGGCGCCCCTCCTCGAGAGGGGCGGCACGTCCGAGCGGGACCCCGGGAGTGTATCCCCGAGTGCCCCGTCGTTTCTGAGAGGCCTGGTCCTGGTTCGGGGGGACTCGGGCAGTCCCCTGCTTACCAGCCTGGAACACATCCCTATCCCTAAGCTGGGCATCGCCTCATCACGGTGCCAATCTTAGGGGCTCCCTTAGTTTTTCAGGACGCATCCCTGAGATTGCCATCGCCTTTTGGCGTGTCAATCTTAGGGATAGGGATAAGTTCGAGGCTGGTGACCTGCGATCCCGGGCGGCCTTCGCCGCCCTCGCCGCCCGGGAGGGCGAGCGCGGAAGCAGCTCCCGGGGCAGGAGAACCGCGGTGGCGCACAGGAACACAGCGGGGCAGGACACGGACGCATCTCCACCCCCCTCCGGCCTCGCCTCCGGCCTCGCCGCCCCCCTCCCCCCTCCTCCTCCTCCGCCTCCTCCGCCTCCTCCTCCTCCTCCTCCTCCTCCTCCTCCTCCTCCTCCTCCTCCTCCTCCTCCTCCTCTCGCCTCCCCCCTCCCCCCCCTCCTCCAGGCATCTCCGACGTTGGTTTCTTGTTCCAAACGAGGTTCCCCAGGCCGGGACCCCTTCCCCAAGGACCGGCGCTTCATCCGAACCTATGCTTAATGGAACGGCCCTGGGGCCCCGCAAGGGGCCGCCAGAGGCTGCACAGCAGCAGCAAGCGCTCCGCTGTATTGTCTTCACGACGAGAAGAAGTCTGGTCTTCGTTCGTGCCCCCCTGCCTTCTTTCGCGGAACAGCATGACGAAAACACTTCGTCGGCGGCGAATCCACTCAAATACTTGAACCCTTCTGGGGGGCGTATTCTTGTTCACCACTTCTGGTATGTATGGAATTGATGCTTTTGCTGTTGGTTGACGTTCGCAGGGTTGGTACCACAAGGCCGCAGCCAGGGTCTGGGCCACGGGGTGAAATATCAATCCCCAGACATCTCTTCTGGGGCGTGCTCTGGCCAGATCTCCTCGGGGCGGTAAAGTCAACCGTGGCGGCGAGGGGCACCCCCCAGGAGGCCAGAGCAGGACGAACAGATGTCAGGGAAATCCACCCTTCCATCTCGAGCCTCGACGACGACGACGACGACGACGACGACGACGACGACGACGACGACGACGACGACGACGACGACGACGAGGACGCCAAAATATGCCTCCAGGGGCTCGGGGAGCGGTGGGTATGGACATCTGCCCGCCCGCCTCGGGCGGGCAAGCATCCAGATCCGCAGCTCATCCCAGGAAGCACGACTCGAAGGCAGTGGATACTCCGGATGGGGCAATGATCGCCCCCACTCCCCTTGGATCCGCGGGGGGGGTTGGGCACGTGCTGTCGGAACGGGTGGAGGGTGGGTTGCAGGGGGAGGAGGAAGAGGAGGAGGAGGAGGAGGAGGAGGAGGAGGAGGAGGAGGAGGAGGAGGAGGAGGAGAAGGAGGATGAGGAGGTGGAGGAGTGGGGTGGGATGGGCAGGCTCTGTCGGACGGTCAGTCGCCCGCCCCTCGATTGATATCCCACCCAGGGTATGGACTTATTTTGGCGCTGGACCTCGAACTCCCCGATCCCCTCTCCCGGGTGCACAAGGACCCCCGCACGTCCGGAGTACTTCCGCTCGCGCGCGCGGCGCGGGAAGCCAGACCCTGCGGGGCGGGCCGGAGAGCCCCGCGGGGCCCTGAGCCGCACTCGCGCGCACTCGGCTCGGGTCGCCCACACACACACACACAAAAAAAAAAACACACACACACACGACACCTCGTCCCCGCGCCCCAGCGGCCTGGGCTCGGCCTCACTGTTCTGCCCCCTCTCGCCTCCCTCCTCTCGCCTCCCTCCTCCCTCCTCCCTCCTCTTCCTCCTCCTGCCCTCCTCCTCCAACTCCTCCTCCTCCTCCTCTCCTCCTCCTCCTCTCCTCCTCCTCCTCCTTCTTCCTGCCCATTCCTCCCTTCCTCACTTCCGCCCTCCATCCCTCCCTCCCTCCCTCCCTCCCTCCCTCCCTCCCTCCTCCCTCCTCCTCTCCCTCCTCCCTTCTCCCTCATCCTGGGCAATCGAATGTCATCGAGAGAAGAGAGAATGGACTCGCTAGAAACGGGTCCTCCTCATCTCGGCTGCACACAAGAGTGACCCTGCGGCAGAGTGAACTTTGGTGCGCAGCTGTAGGCGGCCTCGGGGGGGTGCTGGGAGGGGCCCACGTGTCTCCGCACCAAGAGGTCGCTTCAGCGAAGGGTCATTCTTACGCCTAGCCGACATCCTCGTCGACAAGCTTCCGGGCCATACCTCGAGTCTGCGGCGGCCGCCCGAGAGCGCACCCCCAGAATGCCCTCGACGAAGCACAGCTGCTGAAACGCATACGGCGAGGCGGGAAAACCTCCGGGAACAGACGGAATTGTCAGAAACTTTTGATCCGCGGGTCGAGAGCGCACCTCTTCTGGTCGAAGCTAAGCGGGCCGCGCACAACTTTGATTATCAAAAGGGGGGGGGCAGAAGGAGGGGGCTCACGTCAAGGCCAGGAGGGGGCAAAGCCCAGGAATCAGGCGGTGCCGAAGACGATGTGCTTGCAAAGAAATAAAAAAGTGTCCTCTAACCTTCTTACGCGCAGCCGATCCCATGAGCAGCGACTGTATCCATATCCACGCCCTCGCGCTCTGGATTCCGGAGCGCGCGCCCGCGGAGACGCGACCGCACGGACACGCCCTGCGCGGGACATCCGCGAAAAAACTGCCCGCATCCGCGGGGTCGCGGCCCGGGGGCCCGGCCCAGCCCGCGTGGCTGCGGGCACGGAAATGTGGTTCGCCCACGACGATTAGGTCGGGCATATCCCCCTACAGGGGGAGTCTCGACGAAAAAGAAAAAGTGGTCAAAAGATGCCCAAAAGAACCCAAACATGGTCCACAAAGCGTCCCCAAACTATTGTTTTTTGATTACTTTTGGATATTCCCCCTGTAGCCTGTAGAGGGACAGGCCCGACTTAACACGACGATCCTCGGGGATCTTCTGACCCGGGTCAATCCAGACCCGGGTCAGAAATACGCAGGTCTTCGCAACCCCGGGTCAGCCAATACGCGCGGCCGCCTCGCGGCCACGAGCGGCTCGCGAACCTGGTTCAGCCAGAGGGGGTCTTCGCAAGATCCTGCAAGATCCGGTGCCCTGGCTGACCCCCGTTTGCATTGACCCCCGTCTCAAGGCTCCCGAGAAATGGTCCACACATCGTCCCCAGGCTATCTTTGGACTACTTCTGAACACTCCCCCTGTAGAGGGACAGGCCCGACTTCGCACGACGATCCCCCCGCCCTCAGGCCCCCGGCGGATGGAAGAGACACCCGCCCGCAGGCCCCCGGCGGATGGAACACGACGATCCCCCCCGCCCTGTAGAGGGACAGGCCCCTGTAGAGGGACAGGCCCGACGAACACTACGATCCTCCCGCCCTTCGCACGACGATCCCGACTCAACACGACGATCCCCCCCCCCCGCCCCTCGGGCCCCCGGCGGCTGGCAGAGGCCCCCGAACACACAGACGCTCCATGGAGAGCACGGCCGCCGGAGCCCGCCCCCCCCCCCCGCCGCCGCTCTCTGGCCGGCGGACCCCCCCCGTCCTGCGCATCGGCCCACCTGGCGATCTCCTTGAGCTGGTGCTCCTGCGCGACCTTCTCCTTCGGAGGCCGAGAAGCGACATACACATGCACGTCTCTCTCTCTCTCTCTCTCTTTCTCTCGCTCTCTCTCCCTCTCTCTCTGTCCTCTCTCACGCAGGAACTTCTCCTCCGACAGAGAAGAGAGAAGCAACATACACATGCACGTCTCTCTCTATCTCTCTAGGGGAACAAACAGAGACATAAGCATAAAAACTCTGAGGTCCGCGCGGATTTCTCGGATCGGCGCTGGGGCCCACCAGCGGCGCCTCCGGCGCCGCCCCTGGCGCGCTCCACGCGCCAGGGAGGGGGGTCCAGCGCCGATCCGAGAAATCCGCGCGGACCTCCGAGTTTTCATGTTTCTGTCACTTTTCGTTCACCTACTCTCTCTCTCTCTCTCTTTCTCTCGCTCTCTCTCTCTCTCTCTATGTATCTTCTCTCTCTCTGTATAGATGTGTGCAAGGGCACACGCACAGACGTATGTGAATGCACGTATGCCTAAATATATATATATATATATATATATATAGATATACATATATCTAAATATGCAAATGTATGTGTATGTGCATGTGTACGTGCATGTGTTGGCAATCTGTCGGGGCCCTGCACCCAAAACTGGTGTCATCCTTTGGGGGCAATTCTCACTCGGTCTTTTGCCGGCGGCGCCGCTCTCGTTTTCCTTCCCCCGCCTTCCGCCGTTTTCCGCCGAGGAAGGGATGCCAACATCTTCTACCCCGAAGGCAATGACCTTTCTGGATCGCCCCGTATGTCTGTCACCGTGCCTGCAAGAAGCGGGCGTGTTGGAATGCTTCACTGTTGTCTGCAAGGTGTTTGAATATTCTCTGGGACCGACCCACCCTCATCGCACGCGTCGTTATACAATTTGTTTCGCTGTTTCTTTATGTTTCTGAATCTGCTCCTCAGCGTTCTGTTCCGCTTTCTGGCGGCCAATATGGCCTCCATGATGGAACAAAACAGCTCAAGAGTCTCTCGGGACGGCCGCAAGACGGCTCGAGAGGTTCCCAAAACAACCGAAAAAAGAGTTCCGAGAGGGTTCTGAGAGGCCTTCAGGGAGGTCGCGTATCCGCGCGCACCAGACAAGAGCAGAAGGGTGCGATTCCAGTACAAAACAAGGCGGGAGGAAAACAAACACGAACACACGTTCGCTTCGGAGCAGCCGCAGTTCCACGAAAGCCCTGCGCGGAGCCAGCAAGGCTCCCCACCCCCTTTCCATCCGCACGATGACCGCAGCAAAACAATCCTCCAGACCTCTTGGGTCCATTAGGGCGCCCGAGCAGCCGCGGCAGACAACTGTCCGCGATGGGGGATTCACTCCTTCGATATTGCGCATCTGACGTGACTTTACGCGCGTAAAGGTAGCCCGCCATGACCTGCAAGAGCAGGTCCCAGTCGATGGTGCCCTTGGCGTGGCCGCCCGTCGTCATGTCGCGGGCGTCGCGCCACTGCGCGTCGTTGGTGATGCCAAGATCCAAGCTTTCCCTCAGACAGCTGGCAGGTCCCAGTGTTGTATTCGCCGCTGGGGTCTTGAGATCCATGCTAGGAAGAGATTGGTGAACGGATCTGGCGTCAATCGCAAGACAGACATCAACATCAAGACAGAGTCCACCGTGTCCATGATTGCATTAAAGTTCAGAAACACCCTGGGGGGCCCTCTCATGAGCTCATGTAGCGTTACCATAATGCGGCAACAACCATCAGCACTGCGGGCAGCGGCAAGTGCATCCCACATAGGAGGCGATTGAACTTGGAGGCGATTGAACGTGCGAAGGCTGTCGATGCAGTGCATGACCTGCTCCCTGCTGCTCGTGCTTCCACGCCGCAACAGTCGCATCCGAGAAACGTCATGAATCCAAATCGCATCACCCTCATCCCCTGTGAGTTGTCGATGCCCAGAACCACCGTGCAGGTCCACGGTTCCATCAGGACCCATGGCGCGGCAAGTGCTGTTCCTCGGCCCCTGTAACCGCTTGCGAGCGAGGTCATTCATCGTCACGCCTGGGGGGGGGTCGGTGTCTGGATACGCTGCAACGAAACAGTACATGCTATGATCCAGAATTGTGCGAAGCGAGAACACGCCGAAGCCGCACAGACACGTCGCAAACACTTGCGCGAGCTGCGGCGCCAAGAGGGGCCCCAACAAGGTCGGGATGTGCGGCCGGGCGGAATTGCTTGATATACTCGTCTTGATCCATGATAACGTCGCCCTTCGTCGTCTTGGTGTACCTCGCGGAGCAACTGGTGTAGGTATGCTTGTTGAGATTGCGCTTGCCGAGTGCCTGCTTGACTTTCTATGCGCGAGCATCTAGGTTGGTCTACTTTGCCACGCTCATTTATGCCATCTACGCGTTGGCCCGCGAGCGGGTCCTAAGTGGCCGGGCTATGCGACATGGACTTGACGCCAACGTTCTCTATGGCTCGGATAAACTTGGGAGTGGAAGCGCGAGGGGCGTTCTGAATGCATGAGCCGGGCTCGCGGCATTTCAAGCAATGCCAAGACTCGTCGTGGTCCTCGAAGCCGGGCGGAATGCGCAGGACTGGTGCGCTGCCGGGAGGTTGGGCAGCGTGCAATGCGCTCCTGTTCTCCCGTAGATTCAGCCAGCTCTGTGTTAGTGAGGCCCCAAAGAAAGGCACTAGGAAAAGCTGAAGTCGAATTTCGGTGGCAAACTATTTCACTCACCAACAAGCGCCGAGAGGTACGTCTCGCAGTCCAAGAGGATGTCTCCACTGGGACGGCTTCTCTCCTCAATGCCAGACGAAAGAGCATAACCGATGTCTGCCTTGCCTGACTCCGTCTTCACGAGCTTCCACCTACATGCGCACCAGGAGGCCATGGCGCTCTGGGCCCTGGCAAACAGCCCCCCGGTGAAGCGCCGGTTGCCCAGCCAGATCTTACGCTCAGACCAGAGGGCAGATGACGCCTGCGTGGAGCGATTGATGAGATCCCGCTTAGTAGGCAGATCTTTCTTTGACCACTGCAGCTCGTTAACTTCTGCTGATAGGCACGCGCGCGCGATGGCCAACTCATCGGGGGGCACGGCGTCCAATTGAGGTTCATCTAGTACTACCTTGGCCATCTCGCACTTGATTCGAAGCGCGGGTCGAGGTCGCTATGATCATCGACATCATCGCAGGTCAACGCATCGATGGTCATCGCAGGGTCACCTGGTTTTTGATCAGCGAGTAGATCGTCATTATGTATGTGCTCGCGTAAGCATATGAATTCCGGATGACACATATGACTCTCACGCTTATAGGCTGCCCAGGAGGCCCGAATAACTCCCCGAAAGACAAGAGGCCTCCGAGGAGGCGACACGCGTTGAAGTTCCTCAGGTGTGTGATGGACTTCGGGGTTCTCCCCTGTGACAAGGTAGCTCCAAGAAGTGCCATGGGGCCCCCAAAGAAGCACTCAAGTCGGCCCAGGAGGACCCCCCAAGATCGCCCCAGAGCATCCCAGGGCTGCCCCAAGACTGCCCGAAAGCGCTCCATCCAAGAGGGCACCAATAATGCCGAGAGAGAGAGGCCCACGAGACGGCCGCTAAAGGCGTCAGACATGCCAAGAGCCCACTAAGACTGCACAAGAAACCTCAAGAGGCTGGGGCCCCTTGCAGGCTCCCAAGAGGCCCCCAGGGAGCCACTGCCCCGAGAGGCCTTCTCCTCTGGGTCTTCCTCCTCTTGTTGTTGCTCCCTCCTCCGCTTCCTCCTCCTCCGCCTCCTCCTCCCTACCGCGTGGGCGAAGATAACATCAAGTTCACGACCTGCCTCAGCTCGCACAACTCACTGAACTGCAGCGGGGCGTGAACTCGACCTCCCCCCTGCCGCGCGGACGATCAGATTCACGCCCCGCCCCAGCTCAGGACTGTCGTCGGAACTGCGCCGTTCCTACACTCAGTCTCATTCCTGCTGCACCGTTGCAGAGGCACGGCGGCGAGGTCTGCCGCAGGCAACAGGGTGTATATGTTCATAAAGGTGTATATATATATATATATATATATATATATGTGTCTATGCACGCATGTGTATACATATATGTATAGATCGATTTGTATAACTGTGTAGATGTGTGTTCATGCGCCACACAACAGAGCCACACGAACATTGATGCATGTGAGCTCTAAGGGGCATTTGCCATCGAACTCCGAAGTCTCCTGGGTGCCCCAGGCCTCCGTGGGTCCCGAACGTTGGGGTCGGCGCCCAGCCGTCTCCCGCGAACTGCGGGGGCCTGCTCGAACTTCGGGGGCCTGCGCGAACTGCGTCCTCCTCCTCCTCCTCCTCCTCCTCCTCCTCCTCTCTCCCTCCTCTCCTCCGTCTCCCGCCTCCCGCCTCTCTCCTCTCTCCTCCTCCCCCTCCTCCTCCTCCTCCTCCTCCTCCTCCTCCTCCTCCTCCTCCTCCTGTTCTCCTCCTCCTTACCCGGCGCGCGCATCGCGCTGGGGGCGGCGCCGGAGGCGCTCCCCCCGGGGGTGAGGCGAGAGGGGCTCAGCGCCGACCCGGGAAGTCCGCGCGGACCTCCGAGGAGGAGCAGGAGGAGGAGGAGGAGGAGGAGGAGGAGAGAGGAGGAGGAGGAGGAGGAGGAGGAGGAGGGGGAGGAGGGAGGGAGGAGGGGGAGGAGGAGGAGGAGGAGGAGGAGAGGAGGAGGGAGGAGGAGGAGGAGGAGGAGGAGTGAGGAGAAGGAGGAGGGCGAAGAAACCGATTCAGGCAAGGTGTACGACAAGTTCGTGCCATGGAGACCTGCACGCTGGCTTCTGCCCTGCGTGGATCGCTCCACCCTGAGCGATCGCGGCCCTGCCATACGGTTGACTCCGCACGCCCGCGCTAGAGCCGCCGCCACGTCAGCGCGACGCGAACCGATCTGAAATGCGTACATGCCGTTGGTTGGCCCTTCTGTCCTTGTCTATGACAGCGGTCACCGCCTCGATCTCGTCCGCCAGGAGCTTCTCCCGCTCCTTCTCCTCGGCTCCAGGGGGGAGAGAGGGGCTGCTGAATCTGGCAAAACGCCTGCGAGAGCTCCGAGGTCGTGACACAATCACCGCGCCGTGAAAAACAGCACGTCTGGAGCCGGCCGCCGGGAGCTACTCCCGAACCTCCTCCACCTCGGCTCGGGGGGGTTGGGGGGGCTTCTGAATCTGGTGCCACTTGCGACGCGCACTCATTGGGGACCGATCGGGGGGCCAGGCTCCCAGGGAGACGCCGGCTCTGGCATCGGCGAGGAGTCGTCCGCCGGGAGCTTCTCCCGAACCTCCTCCTCGGCTTTTGGGGGGGCGGAGGGGCTCCGGAATCTGGTGCCCCTTGCGACGCGCACTCATTTCGGCGGTGGACAAACCTCCCTTTAGTAGACCTCCCCTTAGTGAAAACGGCCTGGGACCGAAACCGACGGACCTGGACCCGCAAAAATGACGGGCGCGACGCCTTCTCGCGAACCGAAAACGGCCAATTCCTTAACCGACGTGTCAGGGTAGGAGGTCTGTCCAACCTCGACACTCATTGGGGACCCATCGGGGGGCCGGCTCCCCGAGACGCCGATACCCTGGCAGCGGCGATGCCCTGCCGACAGATCGGCGGCACTCCCTCGACGGCGAGGCCACGCGCGCTCCCGGGGCCGGGGGCACGCCGTCGGGCCCCCCTGTCGGCGACGAGCGGGTGCTCGGGGGGTCGATGCTGTTTCCCCCCGCCGAGCGTAGAGTATTCGGCCCGACCTAAGAAACGAGGAATAAGGAACGAAGCCCCTTTTTTCCAAGTGAGTCTAAAAACTCCGACGAAAAACACCAGGGGGTCCCGCCGCCAACAAGGTAGCGGAAGTCATGCAAACCCAAGGAACGACCGAGCCCCTTTTGAAAAATAGGTGTTCCTTATTCAAGCCGGACCCTGTATCCCTACCACGCTGCCCCTGGTTCTTGCTGGCTCTCCTCGGCTCGGGGGGTGGGGGGGCCGCCGCTGCCGATGCTGCGCTGCCCGGGGCGCCGCCCTGGAGCGGGCCAGCGTCGCCTCCTGCGCACCGCCGCCGATCCTCCCCGCATGACGCGCAAAGGTGGGCCAATGGGCAGCCGCAGGGAGCAAGCGTTGCGACCGCTCCTCACCCGGCGCCTGTCTAGGCTGCGCCTGTAACCTATTTGGCGGCGCGCAGAGGGGGGTAGGGGGAGGGGGGAAGCCTTCTTAGAAAGAGGCGGCTTCGTAGAAGGCGCCTGACGTACATCTATAGACAAGGCCCGCGCCTTATGAGAAGCAGGGTGCTATCAGAAACCTGCTCGTGGCATACCTACCCCCCTGCGCGTGGCTGACCTACGTTGCTGCTGCCCCTCCGCCACCACTGCTGCTGGCACTCCCGTAGCGGCGACCATCTGCTTACGCTGCCACCGGGGCTGCAGGTACCGGCTGCGAGTGCCACCGCCCGATGAGGCGCTGCAACTGCTGCCTGGCATGAAAGAACCAGGTCCTGAGGGAAACGGGTCCTGGACCCCAGGGGGGCTCCCCCAGGATCAGATCTTCATCCTGGGTCGTTTTCTGACCGTCCCAGGGCCCGCGCATAGCCATAGAAGCCCCCCACAAAATAAACAACCTGTAGGATCCATGTTCCTCCATGGCAAACTACTGCTGCTGTCGCTGCCGCTACAGCTGCAGCTGCCACTGGGACTACTGCTGCGAACTTTCTGGCCTCGGAGCGAGTCTGGCGCCAGAGGCGAAGTGCCTACTCCAGGCCCAAGGTGCTCCTCCTCCTCCTCCTCCTCCTCCTCCTTCCCTCCTCCTCCTCCTCCTCCTCCTCCTCCTCCTCCTCCTCCTCCTCCTCCTCCTCCTCCTCCTTCCTCCTCCTCCTCCTCCTCCTCCTCCTCCTCCTCATCCTCCTCCTCCTCCCTCTCCTCCCTCCTCCTCCTCCTCCTCCTCCTCCTCCTCCTCCTCCTCCTCCTCCTCCTCCTCCTCCGCCCCTCAAGCAACCGTATCGGCTCGAGCTGGGCGCCCGCAGCCATTTTGCCCTCGGCCGCGGCGGCGCGCGCCATTGCGGGGCCTCGGAGTCGATACGCCTGGGGGCTGGACCACCGTAGTGTGCTTGCTTGAGCGGTACCTCGTTTGCAGGTGCTGAACGCCCAGGTTTTTCTTCGGCCTCATCTTCTTCATGAATGGCGAGCACATGGAAATCGTCCTGCGCGTGCCCATCGGCGCCGAGGTCGAGTTCCGAGCTGTGGCACGTGCCGCTGCCACCACCACCGGGGGATGTGCGAGTCCAACGCGCCCCACTGTATTGGGAGGGGGCTGCTCACGCGCAGAGTCTGGTGGCTTGCCCGCCGCCCCCGACTACTACATCCCTGTCTCAGTGCCCGCACAGCAGCTCTTCCGCCGCTGTCGCGATCCAGGCCAGGATGGAGGAGTCCAAGATGGAGGAGAAGTCGCAGCAGTTTTTCACGAGGGCCAAGTTCATCGTTGGCGACAAAAGGGGCAGCAAGGGGCAGAAGAAGAAGAAGAAGCTGAACGCAGTGCAGGTGCAACAGAAGTACATCGTGATGGAGGCGTCGAAGGAGGTCCGCGTGCCGACCCCTCCGAGGCGCCCGGTACCTCGGCCGCCGCCGCCGCCGAGGATGTCCATCCCGATGGAGGTGGAGGTGCACGCGTCGGAGGAGATGGAGGAGGCGCAGCCATTGCCAGCGCCGCCGCCGCCCCCCAGGCGCGCCGGTACACCGCCTCGCCGCTACAAGAGCCAGCTGACGGGGGAGTGGAGGCCGTGCACGCGGTGGAGCGCGACCTCAAGCTCCGCTACAAGGCTGGCCTGAACGTTGAGAAGCAGTTGCACGGCTACGACACAAAGGAGAGGATCAGCCAGGACGAGGCCTCGGATGGGATGGAGGACCTCGGCCGTGACATGGAGGATTCTGCTCTGGACCGAATTCGCGATGATGAGAATGACGAGCACGCATTTTGCCACAGCCTTCAAGTTCAAGATTCCGCTGAAGTGCAGCACTTTCGCTTGGATGTTTCGGACGAGTTATTGGGAGTTGGCACAGAAGCTGGTGAAGGCGTCGCTGAAAGCACGGCTATATCTGGCGATGGTGTCGGCTCTGCATCTGCATGTTCTTCTTCACGATTCGACGGTGATTTCCTGAAGCAGTTGCTGAAGTCGATTGGAGATCGGCAGCGGGCTTCCTACTCGGTACGGCGGTGGAACCGCCTTACGACCCGGTTCAGGCGTGCCTGGTGGGGGACACCTGAAGAGTTTCGCGGGTCTCTCTCTTCCCTTGCGGGCGACCTGGAGTTTAGCAGTTTGTCTTGGTCTTCGAGACTCAGTCCGAATACTATCGAGCAGATGTTGCGCTGGCTGGCGTTTGAATCACTTTCGAACTTTCGTCGTAACGCTATGGGTCTGGAAGCTTATCCCACAATGCTCATAGATCCGGCATTTTCTTCACGCTCTCGTTAAACTCGTTTAACAATTTGGTCATCATCGGCAAGTAGGGCCTCGTGTGCCCGCCATTTTCATGCCTGCCCTCTAATCCCCGCGGGAACTTAGTGTGGCAGTCGCCTACAGCAAAAACAACAAAAAAAAACCTCCTCCGCCTCCCGCCTCCCGCCTCTCTCCTCTCTCCTCCTCCCTCCCTCCTTGTCCCCCGCCTGGGTGATTGGGAGAAAGACACGCTCGCTAAAACTAGGTTCTTCTTCTCTAGCTCCTCCTCCTCCTCCTCCTCCTCCTCTTCCGTCCCCTCCTTCCCTCCCCCAGCATGAGGGTGCAGACCCGATTCGTCCGCCGGCTGCTGCTCCGGGGAGGGGGAGGCTATCTGCTCGGGGGCGCGCAGGAGGGGAGGGGGGGGGGCCACCGCTCCACGACGTGCCTCTGCCGCGCCTCGCAGCGTGGACCTCCCCCTGCCGCAGGGCTTGCCCCGCTCTTCTCTGCGGGCCGCCCTCCGGTGACCTCGCCCCGAGACTCGCTGCCGCCTCCTTCCCCCCCCGCCCCCGGGAGGCCGCCCCCCATCACTGTCCCCTCGCGGAGGCAAGTCTGCGGCAGGGCCCGGGCACGGGGCGGCGCGCCCGCTTCCAGGCAGGGAGCACCGCCGAGGGCGAAGAGGGGCCGAGGACCGAGGCCCAACCAACAGGGCAGGCTGGCCCCAGCCAAGGCAACGACAGTCACCGGCATCGAGCCGGGAAGTCGGCGCCACCAGGTTCTTCAGCACATGCGCCAAGACTAGGGGGAAAACAAACCTACCTCGCTTTTGACCACCCTCGCTTCCAAGAGATACCAGACGATGCCAAATTGCAGCCTGTACTGGTCAGGCCGCTCGACGAGGAGGCGCGTGGTTTGGCTTGGTTTTGCCTGGAAGCGAAAGCGGGGTAGGTAATTCACACTCTGAAAGACAGCGTTCCCTTTCAGCACGAAGGTGCCCATGCAGCCATACCTTTCCCGCGGCACCATCGAGCCGGTGGCTGCCAGGCGCCGCGTGCGAAGGACGCTGAGGCAGATGCATGACGTTAGTATAACCCTGGCCTGTTGCAGAACTGGCACCGCGATGCCCTCGGCATACTGGCTTTGGACCTGCTCTCCCAGGTTGACGGCGACTCCGACGTGCACATGCACTCCCTTGCTCAACAGGCGACGGAGCAAATGACGAAGATCTGCCACGAGCAATAATTCACGGACGTTCAGGGTTTCATGCGCACCACTGCCAGCTTACAGAAGCGGCTGACTATATTTTACAAGGAGCACTTCCTTGCGCAAGCTGCCGATGATGCCAGGGCCGCAGCAGCCAGAGGAGAGCTCCACGAGCACTGGCAGCAAACGAAAAGGTCCTACGCTACGGAGGGCGACCGCCCTGTTACGGACATTTCTACCCGCATCGTATGGGCGCGGACCAGACAGCAACCCGATGAGCTCATCACAGGACGTGGCGGAGGACATCTTCGAAGTTTGCGTGACGACGGAGCTGGCGGTCAGAAAGACGGACACCCAGATAAGAGAGCAGTACAGCTCCAGTCGCCCGCCAGCCTCGACATTATCATGACGGCGATACAACTGGAGCACTCCTTCCGACGAGCAAAGAAGTTCACGCCCCCCCACACTGACGGGCTTCCTGATGACCTGCTGCGCATTCACCCTGGCAGATCCTGAGATGCGTAATGGCTCTGCACCGTGTCTTCACCAGGGTCCAACTACAAAGCTGGGATCCCCATCAATAGAAAGGGTCTCGATCGGTACCGATACGCAAAACAAACATTACGAAGGTGGACAAAGAGCACAGAATATGGCCAAACGCAATCACGCCTACCTCCCCTCACACATGTTGAAGATCATGGGAGTGGCCACTCTGGCAAGCAAATGCGGCGGCATCCAGCGCAGAGGAACAGACACCGCGGCGCACCAAGTGCGGAGCATGGTGGCCATGGCTAAGGCCATGCAACGCACAGCCATCACTCTACGCGTTGATTTGGTGGCCGCCTTCTACCGCGTGATCCGGCAACTTGTTTTGCCTAGTCAGTCGGACGTGGACGACGCCAGAGGCATGGTGGATTGCATGAAAGTGCCACTTCGCTGCAATAGAGAAAGCCATTCTGGAAGACATTATTCGCGCCAGTCACGTGCTCAATCAGCTCGCGGACATGTAACTAATTTTGGTTATTTGTATTTCCGGTCATTTGCAATCCTGGTCGCGAATTGCAAATGAAAATGCCGACGCGCAGGTCTACGCCTCCCGCACTTCAACGACGACATCAAAGCAATGGCCCCCGCAAACCTCGGAGCTGCTGCGAACCATACCCCCGGCAAGCAACAATCCATGGGGCTGCTGCAAATCGCGCGGTAAACCCCTGGGGCCGGCGTGGCCAGGGGGCCGCTACAAACCGTGGCCCCGGCGCAGCCGCAAACTGTGGGCCTGGCGGGCAGGCCGCGCGGCAAACCATCGCGCCAGCGGGCCATGGCCCCGGCGGGCTCTGGCGCCGCCGCAAACCGTGGCCCCGGCGGGCTCCAGACCGCTGCAAACCGTGGCCCCGCCGGCCCCGAGCGGCCGCAAACCGTGGCCCTGGCGCGCCCCGGGCCGCAACGAACCGCGGCCCCGGCGGGCCCTGGGCTGCTGCAAATCGTGGCCCCGCCGGCCCCGAGCGGCCGTAAGCCGTGGCCCCGGCGCGCCCCGGGCCGCAGCAAGCCGCGGCCCCGGCGGGCCTCGGGCCGCTGCAAACCGTGGCCCCAACGGGCCCCCAGCCCGCTGCAAACCATGACCCCAGCGGGCCCCAGGCCGACGCAAACCGTGCAATCCACACGGTCGGTGATAAGCAAGCCACGCAATCCACGCAATCCACCGCATCTTTGTTATGAGCGGTTGCAATCCAAGCGCAGCTGGTTATGCAATCAAAGCGTATGCACTCGCTATCTGCAGTTGTTATCAGCCTGCAACCAAGGATAACAATAAAGCAGAGCCCGCCGGGGCCATGGTTTGCTGCGGCCCCAGGGCCCGCCAGGCCCATGATGGTTTGCAGCGGTCCTGGGGCCCGCCAGCACCGCGGCGTGCGCTGGCCTGGGGCTCACGCGGGCGCCGGGGCCACAATTGCCCCGACCCCGTTGGGGTCACCGTCTGCAGCGGCCAGGAAGCTCACCGGGGCCACAGTTTTTGCGCCCTGGGCCTTGTTACCAAGGCCACGGTTTGCTCTGGCCCCAGGGCTTGCCGCGGCCAGGGCCATGGTTTGTAGCGGCGCCGGGGCTTTTCGGGACCATGTGGTTTGCACACACGCACACACTTTTTGGTGGTCGCGGCCTCGCGCGCAGCGTCGAGACACGCACACGCAGACACACACACACACACACACACACACACACACACACACACACACAAAAAAAAAAAACGTACACACAAACACACACACACACGCACACGCGCTTTCCGTTTCCGATTCTGACCGTTTTCAATTCCAGCCACGCGTTAGAAACGAGGGGTGCCGCGGACTGGATGGGGGCGGTTGCGTTGTGCCCACGAATTACAAATCTTCACTCTGCATGGTTTGAAGTTCATCAAATGCCTGACAGGGC